CCAAACCTTTCGCCAGTGTTTGCAGTTATCCATGTGCTCAGCGATGGAACAGCCTATTGTTAGTCTAACAAGGGCAAAGTCACACTGGGATTTTTGAAAAAGAAAAAAAGCCAGTTCTTTACCTTGCCTAAAACTTTGTTAAACATTAAACTAGCCATACCAAGGAGTTTAGTGAAAGCAAACACTGAGGGTTTGCTAAACTTAAACCTAATAAAGTAGAAAGTTAATAGTTGGGTACAGAGTGTTTGCTGTTTTAGAAAAGCCAGCTATGACAATACATAAGTGCAAATCAATGGTGCTTTAGAAGGTTTAATTAAAGAGAGTGAAGGTGAAGTGAAGCCTGCAAAACTCTGAGATTTGGCCACAGAGATAGTTTTATGACTTGTGAAGAACCTGAACATCTCTGGTACTCAGGGTAGGATAACTCCTGATGAGGTATATAATTATTATAAATTAGAAATAATTCTTATTAATTAGAATTTCTCTTATGTATTTATTGTGTTAACTTACTATATTTAACAGTTCTTCAGAGCACCCATGAAAGTTGCTGCACCCTGTCCCATTTCATGCAACAAAGGGATATACGTGGTGAGATTGTGTCATGAGTGAGGCAGCTGGAGTTGTTTCCTTTTCCCTCTCCATTTGACCATCATTTGCAATTAAAAATGCACATGCATCTCACCAGATCTCGAGCACCAGGGCACATCCCCAGCAGTCCTTGAGGACAGAGCTGCTGATGGGATCCAAAATCATGTATGTTAAATGTATAAAGCAAAGCGTAAAGCACAGATCACAGGAGGGCTCACACTGATTGCCAAGCATTGAGAGGTCTTTGCTTAGGTTGAGTGTAATATATATTTACCTTGTTAATACTGGTGTGCCCTGGTAAAAGCTTCTCATTGCAAGGAAAGACACCTGCATAAGTTTCAGGGCCTGATGTTTTTCTTTAGATCATGTAGTTGTGTTTCAGTCTGAAAGGTTTCCAAGGGAATAGAGAAGGGAAAGGAGAGGATGAGAGTAGTGTGGGAACTCTGAGAGTGTCCCCTTCCTCTCTGCTTGCAGAAAAAACATCTTGTCCAGCACAGGAGTTAACTTGCTGTTTTAAGTAGAAGGGATAGTTAGGAAACATCATTGTTCATTATAAACAAGAAAACAGACGTAATATTTGAAATTCTGTAGCTAAAAGAGGTGGAATATTGTTGGAAAAAAATACTGAAAATTCATACAGATTTGAAGTAGGAAAGTAATGGTAGTTTGTTTAAAAAACAACCAACCAACAACACTACAAAACAAACCAACAAAAATACAACCACCAACGAGAAAATGCTCTGCTCCATGGGTTTCAGTGGAAGTAATGAACCTTTGCTAAGATTACTGGAGTGTTAAAGGCATGTTTCTGGCCTATGGAAAGACACAAGTGGTCATTAAAAGCTGTCCTCAGGCTGGTGTTAAGATGGGAATGAAGAAGAAAAAAGACTGAGGCAAATCAAGTGGTCAGAAAGGGAGAATGATCTATGGTGAAAAAAAAAGAAAAATCTAATAGAACAACTGTAGGAGGTTTACAAAGAAACCAGAATAATAAATGTGGTGAAATAGCTATTACTGTACTTTACTGGTGTATTTTCTTTAGTAAGTGTATAGATCTAAAGGCACTGGAAGCAGAATCCTCTTCTTTAGGATGAAAAATCTGAACTGAAAGAAACTGAGTCCACTTCAGAACAGGGATAGAGGGGACTAATACTGTGCAAGACTAACGAGGTCTTAATGTTAATACCAGCAAAGAGAAAAATACCTCTTGAGAGAATTCTGTCAGGACAAATTGTGAACATGCGCAGAGAGCTTCCTGGCTTTACACTGGCCTCAAGAGATGGCAGAAGAGAGCGTTTAATAAAATGCTTTAAAGGTCTTGTTTTTCAAAGGCTTTTGAGCAGAAGGAAACATTTTCTGTCTTAGTTCAGCTGCTGATGGCATCTGTGGTCATCAATTAGATATTGTTCTTATCATAGTAGATCAAATAACAACGTGAATTTACAAATGACAGGTGAAAAGCCTTTTAGAACTTAGTTTTTGTCCAGTATCCAAAAATATTCTGGCAAATATAGAAATATCTGAAGGCTTAGGGCTTATTTGTTATTCTCCTTATTCTATTTGCATTGTGGCTGAGATCCCATGGGAGACCTGCAACTACTGGAAGTCTGGGCGTTGAACTCGAGTTCGCCAACTTCAGTGGAAGTGGAGCAGGTCCATTTGCCTTTGCTGGTCCTCAGCACTAAACGCCCAGCTTGTTTTTGCTTAGGCTACACCTCTTGCTTAACACAGTGCTAATTTGTGTGGTTTATAATATGGTTCACTGAAAAGAGTTTTTGTTTTAACAGAGGGTCATTAATAGACGGAAGTTATTCCTCAGACTGATGGACTGTCCCCTTCTCTCTTTTTTTAGTGCTTTGAATAATTCAGAAATGAATGATTTGTGTAACAACACTGAGAGAACGTTTATATAGACAAATTCTGCTCCTGGCCAGTAGTAATTTTAAAGTTGGGTAGTGTTCAGAAAAGCATAATTCATAAAAACAACATTAATGAAAGCTGTAATGAGACCAAAGAAAAGGGAATAATCGTAGTGTGTGTACTTTTTTTTTTCCTTTAAGCAAGCAGAAAGACTTTTTTTTTAACTACACAGTGCAAACAAGAGCTAGCAGATGTGTCTGAATAGGCTTTGGGATTCAGCAGATAACTCAAACAGAATTAACAATATACTAGAAGCTGCACTGCAATTTGATTTATGGCAAAAGCAGTCTTCAAACAGATTCAGTTTTAGTGTGTATTTTTGTCTTCTCATGAAATGAGACCTGAAAATTGGAAGGCCATGTGTGATGACAGAGGAGGAAAGTGCTATTAATCAAAACCACTTTTGTTCAGATCTTCAAAGCCTTTCTCCCACCTTTTCTATCTTTATCTGTTTCTAAGTTTTCAGTTTAGCAGGCATTTATAATCTAAATTGAACTACAGTAGCAGAGTGACTTGTTCAAGATCAAGTGCTTTTAGTCCTAAATATTTTCTGCTCAGGAATGCTGAATGTTTCTAGAATCAAGCTGTTATTTTTTCAAGATATTGCAAATTAATTAATCATATGTTAAATATGTGAAATAGAATCAATGGTTTTGTATTTAAAACAAACAAACAAAAGCCCAAACACACAACAAAAACCCCCTGATTAACTGGTATACTTTTTGCTACTTCAGATACTGAAAAAAGATAAAAAAAAGTCAGTCTTGAAATGACCTGATTTGAGAAAAGTTGATGAACCAGCCAGTTAGACCAAAAAAAAAAATAAGAGAAAAGTATGACTATATTGCTTTTTCATACAGAGAAAGAGTAAGCAAAAGTAGTTATTGAGCCCATATCAGTGCATTAATACCAAGGATAATTATACTACAAAAGTGTTGGTGTTAAAAAGGATTTCTTTTCCAGCTGTGTTGCCTTAGCCTACAAATATGCATGTAGAGGGGGAGTTTATTAACTAAACTTCACTGTACTGTTTTTATTAAATTGTGTAGTGTGTGAGTATCTTACTTCTGTAAATCACAAGGGCTTGGCATTTCTGTTGAATTTTCTGTGTATTCACTGTCACTTAAATTTATCTTCTCTGTGAATTAGTATGCACTTCCATTTGAGCAGGGAATGTAAAGTTTTACCTGAAAGGTATTTGCAACTTTTCTGTAGGGTGGAGGCTAACCAGCCTTGCATTAAGGGAGATAATGATAAACAATTTTTCATCTTTTCCCTGGAAGCTGACATGAAAGATGAGAGAGGAAGACTAGCACAAAGATTAACAGCTCCACAGACTATTTTTTTACAAAGCTACATACTGATGTGCTGACCTTGTGTTGGAGAGCTGCATCCATTGCAACAGAAGCATCATCCTGTACTCTCATGTCTCTGTCATTGCTTGGTTGTTTCTCTGAGCTTCTACACAGATCTTAATTTCACTTTTTGATTTACAAGGTTTAGTACAGCTGCACTAAAGTCAGGACACCAAGTAAACACTCATGGTTTCTCTTGCCTGTGGTTACAAACAAAACGCTATGGAAATGACGGGGTTTTTAGCATACTTGAAAAAGAAAAAGAATTCTCCACTTGACAGGAATAACTGCTCCCATAAACTCATGTTGCTGTAGCTTGTACGTTACCAAGGTACATATATCAATAGAGAAAGAAAAGCAGAGAACTGTTTGTTTCTTCATTACCCGTGGCAACAGTATTATCTGTGCCTTTTATTTTTGTAAATGCATTTTTTGTACTCTGTAAAAGCTTATGTCTGTTCTACAACTCTAAAGATCTGAGCACAAATGGGAGTGTGTGGAGGTACATGTTTCTGAAAGCATCAGGTTTTTATTTCAGTGTCATAACTTTTATAAAAAGGATGTAAACATGGCCTTTGGGGTGCTTCAGATTGGCAGTATCTAGTGATCTAGAATGGTGTTTAAATTTGATTTAGAATTACATTTTCCTTATACAGAACTGTATTTTAAATTCCTGTACATGTTGTATTGAATGCATACTCTTGTTTAATTTGTTAGTAATGGCATATGATCTATTGCACTCGCTGTAAAATGTTTTGAGTAGGTATGTCATGTTCTCCTGTCTCTGTTCATACACTGATATTCTTGGCTTCAGCTTTTGTATCTAAAGCAAAACAATGCCTTCACAGGTTGTGTATTCTTTCACCTAACTTCTTTAGTATGTGGAAATTCGTCCACTGGTTCTACAAGTTAGTCAAAAGCATTCTGTGTTATTTCACAGATGTTTCATGAAGTAGGTAGGACTTACTTTGTGGGGTAGGAGGGGAAAATAAGTGCTTTTTAATTGGTTCCTTTAAGTAGGCAGCTATAGTCTGGACAAAGATGTTAGGCAAATGTTGCTGGTTGCTTGTATTTCAAAATAATTTACTTGGTACTGAAAGGATGGTCTTCTAAATGCTTTTGGCATTCTTTCTCCAGCTCCTGCCAGTGGACGGCCATCAAACAGTATTAAACCACCTGGAACAACTGACCGGAGTGAAAAATTTGTGACAGCACCTCAGCTAAATGAGCAAGACACGTTGGTTCAGAGGGCAGAGCATATTCCCGCAGGAAAGCGTACTCCCATGTGTGCGCACTGTAATCAAGTCATTAGGTTTGTATCTATTCATCTCTGACAGCAGGGCTTTGTTTTACTTTCATGGTTTTTCATTCCTTAGTCACAAGTGTTTTAAGACTCTATTTCAATAACGCAGAACACTGTTTTCATGCATGGTTTATCTAAGAAAACTGAGAATGAGAGTAATGATGGAGGAAAACATTGTGAACTGCTAACAGTCACAGCCTTACAACCTGTTTTACAGAGAACCAGAAAGCTGGGTGGAGTAGAGCAAAAGTAAAACCAAAGAAAAGTAAGCAAGTCGGTTTTCACTTATACACCCATTCCAATAAAATTGAGAAGATTAGCAAATTGGAAACCAATGAGAGAGTATATTCTTGTAAAGACTAACTTGTCACAAATGTTGATTTATAAACTAGAATTTCTGATCAAGAAGAAGAAAAATAGCAGACTCCATTCATATAAGAAAAACAAAGAATAGAGGCTTAACAATTGCTAAGACTGTATTACTAATAATTTTCTGCAGTTAGATTTGGCAGGCTCTTTGGCCTTTGGGTATTACGGTAGCTAGTGTCCTTGACTTGTATGACATGGGTATAAAAGATTAAGCAACACAAAAACAAGTGTACCAAATGAGATTAAGTTAAATAAATTCTGCTGAGCCCCTAAGATATCCTATCTTTAGCCAGAATTTCATACGGAGGAAGAATTGAATCTAGGTTGCACTGTTCAGTCAGTGATTTCTGACAGTTAACCATGACTATCTCATCCAGGGAACTGTAATCACTTTTCATGTCAATGTGCAAATAATCCTGACTTCCATCTACCTTGCATTTTATTTCTTCTCTAAAATAGAGATTTCCTGGGATTATTGGGAGAAATATATTCTTTTAAAGTGTTTTCTTCCTGGTTCAGTTATCTGCATTGTTGAATTATAAGGGGAAAGTAAAGCATTGTAATACTCTTTTTTATTAATCTGTGTCCTAGTGAACAAAATAGTTTTGCATGTTTTCAGTGAACAAAATAAGAGAGCCTGCACTATGTTTCAACATGGTTAAAGAAAGAAACTTGTTTGATTAGAAAATTGAATTCTGAGAAATGAGGAGCTCTGAGCTAAGTTTAATTCAGAATAATAGAAAAATCATCTTTTCTACTTTGGCATTTTACAGCTTCTTGAGCCCTGGCTTGGATTGTGCATCAGAAGATGCAGCTAACTTGTCACTAGGTCTCTACAGATGAATTGAATCCAGCTTGCTTACTTCCCCTAGATTTCTGTTCTGATAGTTCACTACCAGTTTTGTTAACGTTGGGTTAATTTTAGAGGACTTTTTGCTAACTTATCTGTGATGTTTTGGAGAAATTTTTCCTACTTCCATTGCATATGTCAAGGTAATAAAAATTATATATGATCTCAGTCCCCTTGAAGCAATAGAAAAAATATTTATAAATTCCCAACATAGGTGTACATTTTTCTAATCCAGATTTTTTGCTTCATGGCAAAATGGAAGATTAATATCAAAAAGGACTACACACTTTTTGGATGAGATTCATCTGATTCGTTGAACAGCTTGTCCCATATAATCACTGTGTCTTTCTTTAGTATTCTGACTTTGTTCCCGGGGCAGTGGAGAGCTTTAGATTTGTGTCTTGTAAATAATACTTGAGCAACCATGCACTTTCCTTTTTGTTACTATAATTTCAGTTTAAAAATAAATACAAATGTAACAAATCCACTATATGCTGCACCTTTTAAGGCACCTGTGGTTCAGC